ATATTTATATCTCTAAAATAAAAAAGATTAGTGTCAGTTAGATATGCATAAAATTTAAATAAAATATTTTAAAAAAAACTTACAGAATAGTCCAAAAGTGGTTATAAACCTGTTCCAGACTAACACTAGCAGAAGAATCATTATTGTAATATTCCTGCATATTTTCTTTATTATGAATTATTACGAAATCTTTTCTTGTACTTATTAAACTATCTTTATATATTAGACAAAAATGATAAGGATAATTTGAATTTGCTGATTTAAAAGTTAATGAAAATGTACAGGCTTTCAGTCAATTACCAATTACAGTAGAAATTCTTGAAAAGAACTAGATATTTTTGTTATTGATTTTAAAATCAATACCATTTTCTTTATCAAACAAAGGATCCAGTAGGAATTTTATAGAATTGTGAAAAGTTTCACACACTAATTGCTTAAATCTAAAAGATTGTCTTTCAGTTTTATCATTGGTAGATAAAATTGAAAGATATCCCAATAATTACTTAGCATCTTCTTTATTTCTTCTCCAAGTTCGAATATTTCTAAGAGATATATAAATAGGGTGCAATGAACTTTTTCCTAATGAATCAGTAGTGGTTGCATCAGAATAGAGGATAATAGATAAAATATGTGTCTCAGATGGAATTGAAGCTTCCACTATTTTCCATCAATTTTCAGAATATTGTTCACTATATAATATTTTTCCATCAGATTATTTAATAATACATAAAATAAATAAATAATGGAATAAATAAATAATGGAATAAATAAATAATACTTTATATATATTTTAGTAATATAAATTACCTGCAAAGATTGATATTTATATATAAAATTTTTGATTATTTCAAAGTTTGATAATAGATTCTCAATATAACTTTTAATAGGACGGTAATATATAAAATATTTTTTATTTTTATAGTTAAGTATACAATATTTTGAATGTGATATTTTTGTATATTCATTATGTCCATACATTTTTGACCAGTTTCAATATTTTTAAGAAGAGGCAAAATAGATAAATTAGAATGTTTATTAAAAAATTTAATAATTGCGTTTTCAGCTTTATTATTTAAATTATGCTTTATTACAAGTTCCATCAAGTTGGCATATGCTTTGTTTGGAAATTTTATAGCATTTTCTTCAAATTGTTCATCAGGTTCTTCATAATTACTCTGTAGACTTTCAGACAAAACTTGTTTAAAATTATCATAATTTTCTACATTTGACTCTTCAGATCGATCGAAATTACTTTGTAAATTGTAATCTTTCGAAAAATCACTTAAAGCGTTAATATTTTCAATATTTTCATAAGATGCAGGTGACATATTTTGATTTTCGTACTCATTAGTTATAAATGGCAGACTTTCTTTCCGAACAATTTACAATTCTTCAATTCGATTAGAATCTTTGTCATCAAGTGACATATCATTTATATCATTATGAGTTTTATTAACATGTTGAGCGTATACTTGTCGAGATGAAAAATAACGATCACAATATAGGCATTTGAAGTTTGGCATTTTTATAAAATTATATTTGAAATACTTCAAAATTAATTAAATTTTTTAAAAAAATAATAATTTTAAAGATACTTTATATAATATCATTATTTTTTTTATACTTTTTAAATTCTTATATATTTTTTTTAGCAATTAAGAAATTTTCTTTATAACTATACTTTCATATCAAGAAAAATATTTATTACTTCAAAAAATTTTTTTCACAACTATACTTTTATATCAAGAAAAATATTTATTACTTTCATAATAAAAACTTTGGTAAATGTAAAAAATGTAAAAGAATATTACTAACTAAATATAGTATCTATTTGAATATGTTTATCATTTACAAGTTAATTACTTGTTATTTGGAAATATTTATATAAAAGATAATGGCATTCATTCTCCTTTATATTCTTCCTTATATACCAAACCTGATACATTCTTTTTACCTTCAAAATGAATTTTTTTATAATTTTTAATCTTTTGTACTTTTTTCTAAATAATCTTTTTTAATAACTAAGGTATGTAATAAATCTTAGTAGTCTTTTAAAATTGAAATTATAATCTTTGTAATCAAGAGGTAAGGTTTATGTATCTTATTTTTTAAACTCTGTAAACATATATGTAAACATGTGGAGTATTATGATTTATTATAAAAATCGATTTACTCATTGATTTGACAAATTTTTTATTATAGATTATCATTTTTTAATCACAGTAGTCACAGTAATTTTTGTACTACTGATTAGTTAAATTAAAACAATTTTGAAAATAGTAATAAGATTTACTCAAAATCTATTTTACATATAGAAATAAAAAAAATATTTAGTTAAGTATATTTTTAATTAAGAAGTTTATCTAGATAGTTAAAAAATTTTAGATTTTAAATAAAATAATTTTGTTTTTTATGAAAAACTATTTTAATTTTTTTTTCTAAAATTGTAATTTTGAAACTTCAAAATAATTTTATGTGCAAGTATAACTAGTATTATTTTTACCTTATATGAATTTTAGAATTTTATTAATTCATAAGTTAACAGGTGATTAGTAAAATATTACATGTAAAATTTATATGTCAAATTTTTATTATAACAAGTAAGTTTTCTGTATATAAGAAATTTTAACAAAGGTTAAATAAAAAAAAATTATTGTATTAAAAAGGAGTTCTGATTTTAGCTGATTTATAATATAAGATGTAATAGAATTATTTATATTTTTAAAATTGATTTTAGAAACAGTTCAAATATAAAAGATATATTATATTAAAAAGAAATTTTAATTTTAGTTAATTAAATATAAGATATAATAGAATGATCAATTGTTACTATTTATATATAGAAGTAAAAAAAGTATCTAGTTAATTATATTTTTAATTAAAGAATAAAAATCAAGTTTCAAAAAATTTTGTCTTTTATATAAAATTATTTTGTCTTTTATAAAAAACTGATTTGATTTTTTCTTTCAAAATTAATTTCAAGATTATAGATTTGATTTTGTATACAAGTATATAGGAATTATCATTTAGTACAATAATTCTTTTATATTTGACTAGTATAAATCTCCAGAAAATTTAATAAAAATTTATATTCAAATGGTGTGACATATTGTTACAGAATGAAATTATCATAAAAAAAGTATAATATGTAATACTAAAAATATTTGCAAATAATGGATAACAATTTTAGAAATAATAGTATTTAAAGTTTAATTAGTAAATATTAACTCATATAATAAATAGTAACATTTTAATAATTTTTTTTTTATATTTATTTAGTAACACACATTAATTAGTTATAGAATAGTAGTACAGATCATGTATTCACGTAATATTTAATTATACAAACATAACTATCAATTTATAATATGAATTATCATTACTTAACATTATTTAACAATAATTATTAGGTATTGCCAAAGCTCACCGGTGGTGAACCTCACCGGCGGTGATTTTCACCAAAATTTTTTCCTTTTTTGTGTAATATTGTTGGTGGGAAAAATGGTTTCCTTTTTAATAATTAATAAATTTTTAATTGAGTTAATGTATACAAATAGTTCTTTTTCGCGTGGATGTTTTTGATGATGTTTCTCACCATTATTTGGCTTTATTAACTTCATAATAATCACATTTAATACATTCATAATCTTTCTTCCGCATAGATTGTTAGCTATATTGGTCATTACATTTTTTTACGAACTTGAAAAATTAGAACACAAGAAAATAGAGGGAGAAATCGAGAGGGCAAGTTGTTATGCTGCAAGGTTGATCCCATATGCCAACGTTATAAAGAGAAAAAATTTCCCAAGGAACATAAGTTAGATATCAGCAACTAACCAAAAAAATTAAATTATTAAAATTAACCGATCTGAAGAAAGTCAAATATTAGATGATTATGGCAGTTACGAGTTTTAGAAAATTGTGTTTCGACATGGGGCAATCAAAATCGTTGAGAAAATATTATTGCTGAAAAAGGCTGAAGGGCAAAAACATTTAATTAGTTACAATTTAAAAAACTAAAAATCCTTAAAACTATTTTTAGCAAATTATTAGATAAAACAATTATCATTATCAGTCATGGTGAAGTATCAGTAAAATTGATCGGGTCAAGATTTTAGAGATCTTTATTAATTCAAAATTTTAATGTAAATGTTACAAGTGTTATTTAACATTTATCTTTTTTTTTTCCTTTTTTTTAGTTTACAACTATGAGCGTTATGTCCAATGCCTTTACAGTAACTACATATATACTTAGTTTGAATAGTGAACCCATCTTGCTTATTATTTTACCTGTATTATTCAAGAAAGATTAGTTCCATTTCAATAAAGAAAAATATTTGTTTAAATAAATTTCTACTCACTTATGCTGATTCTTTGTAACATTTTCCAATGCATTCTTTAAACTTTTTTTGAAGTACCTTTTGTACGTGTTTGATAAGGATTGCTAATGTTTGGCAAATTCTCTTTGTTAGATGTACATTCTGGTTGACGTTCTCTTTTTTTTTCACTTATCCAGTTTCTTAAAATCATATTTAATTCATCTTCGTAACCCATTTCAAGAGCTAATCCAATTGCTTGTTTTGCATAGCCGAAACCAAGGTTATATTTAGCTTTATGGGAAAGATTTGCTCGGACGGTTTCTGAAAACAACTGTGTATTACGAAATTCATTTAATATATCGAAGTTTGTTCTAATTTGGTGTTCATATATGGATTTGTCATCTGTTTCACTTTCTTTACTGCGAATTGTGATTGCAAATTCTTTTTGAGGATTGAAAGTTACATCGTTATACCATCGAGATGAAATAAGACCAATATAAAACATAGCTTTATCCAAGTTAAACATTATTGAAAAGAAGTGTCGACAAACTAATCCCCATGTTACAAGCCACATGCATGTACACAGGTGATTGGTACTACTATATAGTATTACGAAGTGTTCTTTGTTTTGTTCGATCGTTTTAACACTTCAAATCTCATGAATAGTAGTTTGATTAAGGTGTGTAATCAAAGAACGTAAATTTGATATTTTTGACTTATAATCATCTTCTGCAAATTTAATTCTTCCATCTTTTTGTTGAATATCGATATCATTATCATCATCAGATCATCCTTGCTCATCTTCATTGTCAGATCATCCTTGTTCATCATTATTATCAAACCGTTTTAGTTCTTTATCATTATCGGATCTTTTTTTTTAAAAAAAAATATTTGTGAATTGAAATTTCTAACAATATTACAATATAAGATAGTACCTTTCATTATCAGATTGGTTTTGTTCATCATCATCAGATTGGTCTTGTTTATTATTATCAAATTGGTCTCGTTCGTCATTATCAGATTGGTCCTGTCCATTATCAACATTAGAACTTTTTTTAAAAAAATATTTATTATTATCACTATTATTCAATCACAAAATAAAAAATTCATTATCATTATAATACAAGATATTACCTCTCATTATCAAATTGGGTTTGTTTTTCTTCTTTATCAAAAAATCGTTCTTGTTCTTCTTCATCAAAAAATTGTTCTTGTTCTTTATCAAAAAATTGTTTTTGTTCTTCTTCATTGATAGATTGATTTTGTTCTTCATCAGATTGTTTTTTTTCTTCATCATCATTATCAAGTGTAATATTATTTGTATTTTCTTTGAAGTCATAAATCTAAATAAAAATTTTTTTAATAATGTTAATAAATTTAAATATTTTAATTGTTATTTCGTACCTCATGAATTTTCCAATTCTCAATTTTCTTTACATAGTAAAGTAAACTTTCATTCATTTGGCAATGTTGCATCTTCAATACTTGTGGTATAAGATATTTCTTAATAATACTATCAATTCGTTTAAAATACCTTCCAATAACATTGGGTAAACTGACTGTTGGATTTTTATTAATTTGTTCTTCTTGTCATTCAAATTGTTCTTCTTTATTAAGCTGTAGCTGAATCTGTGTATCAAGTTCGAATAATATTGTAGAACTGTTAACAGATTTTTTAATTAATGCATTGTAACCCTTAACACATTGAGTTGATTGTATTCCAACATCAAATGAGCGATGTGTGTAACACAATGCCCAACTAGTTACATCAGTTTCAAGTGCCCATTCAAGATACTTTCGTGCTTCGGAATAATTTGTAAGGAGTTCCTGCCATTGTTTTTGAAATTCGTCTTCAGAAAAACTGTTTCGACATTTATTCCATTTTTTTACAAAATTATTATATTTCTTATGAAGCTTTCCTTTTAAATTTTTTTCAATATTTTTTCGTAAATGCCAGATGCAATAGTTATGCTTTGTAGATGGAAGAGTCTCATAGATAGCCGTGATCATACTGGCATCTGCATCTGTAAAAAAAAACTCTTGGTGCAAGATTATTTGTAGCACGTAGGAGGTACTCAAGAATCCATTGATAAGTTTCTTTTGTCTTATCTGAAACCACAGCTGTTACAACCATTCGAGAATGTGCATGATTATTAACAACTATAGTAAGGGATAAATACATCTGATATTTGTTTGTCTGTGATGTATTATCATTTATTGCGACATCATGAAATTTTTGTCACAATTCAATTTTGGGACGGTCTTATCCAAAAAAGACCGGTTAAATGATTGTCCTCACTTTCCAATTTTGCTTCAACGAACCAGTCATGCTCTTCACGTTGAAGTTTCATTAATTTTTCATATGTCTCAGTGGCATCAGTTTTCATTATTTTTTGACTACGTCAAAAAAGACAAATTGTATTATATATATTCTTAGGATGAATTCTTGCATCAGGAAAAAGTTTTTGCAGTGCACAAATAATTGGTCCTGCTCTGTAATCAATATTAACCAGAAATTCAATTTCTTCAAGCATTTCTGAAGTAAGATGACAGTTTGATGCTATATTTCGATTTTCAAGATTTTCAAATAATGGATGATTGTGTTCTTTGCACATGGAAGTAACATGTATAATATTACTAGCGAGACCAAGATTAACTTTCCATGGGCAGTTCATTTTTATACTTTCACACTCACGAGTATCTTCTACATCGGCTTTTTTTTTAGCACAATACTGGTGTGAATTTTTGCACTCGAATGTACGACGTACAATTTCACCACGCTTGTTTTTTTCAAGTTGACGCTTTACAACCTCAAAACTAACTTCATTTGCATATTTTTCGACATGTTTCTCAGCTGAGTTCCAATCTTCAAACTCATTTCCTATTTCAAGACGAAATAACATACAATTTT